ACGGACCCATGGGTGGGTGGGAGGGATGGCTGGGTGGGTGGTCCTCTGTGTGGGTGGATGGAGGGATGGAGGGAGGGATGTTCCTCTGGATGGAGGGATGGATGAATGGAGGGATGGATGGATGTTCCTCTGTGGAGTGAGGGAGGGAGGGATGGGTGTTCTTCTGTGTGGGTGAATGGGTGGGTGGATGGATGGATGTTCCTGTGGTTGAGTGGACGGACGGACGGACGGACAGATGGATGTTCTTCTGTGTGGGTGAGTGGGTGGGTGGATGGATGGATGTTCCTGTGGTTGAGTGGATGGATGGATGGACGGACAGATGGATGGATGTTCTTCTGTGTGGGTGAATGGGTGGGTGGGTGGATGGATGGATGGATGTTCCTGTGGTTGAGTGGATGGATGGATGGACGGACAGATGGATGGATGTTCTTCTGTGTGGGTGAATGGGTGGGTGGGTGGATGGATGGATGGATGTTCCTGTGGTTGAGTGGATGGATGGATGGACGGACAGATGGATGGATGTTCTTCTGTGTGGGTGAATGGGTGGGTGGGTGGATGGATGGATGGATGTTCCTGTGGTTGAGTGGATGGATGGATGGACGGACAGATGGATGGATGTTCTTCTGTGTGGGTGAATAGGTGGGTGGATGGATGGATGTTCATGTGGTTGAGTGGACGGACGGATGGGTGGGTCGGTGGGTGGGTGTTCTTCTGTGTGGGTGACTGGGTGGGTGGATGGATGTTCCCGTGGTTGAGTGGATGGATGAACGGATGGATGTTCCCATGGGTGGGTGGGTGGCTGTTCCTGTGAGTAGATGGCTGGATGGCTGTGTCCATGGATGGATGAATGGATAAGCAGATAGACGGCTGGCTGGATGTTCCTGTGTCGGTGGGTGGGTGGATAGGGGGGTGGATGTCCCTGCATGCGGATGGGTGGGTAGGTGGGTGAGTGGGTGGGTGGATAGATGGAGGGAGATTCCTGTGGGTGGGTGGACAGACGGGTGGATGGCCCTACGTTTGGCTGGATGGGTAGATGCAGGGGTGGGTGGGCAGATGGACGCTTGGCTGGCTGTGCCTGGGGACGGATAACTGGAAAGGTCAATAGATGGATGGGGTGTAGATGGATGGACAGACAGACGGTCGGACATTCCTGCGTGGGTGGGTGCGTGGCTGTGCCTGCAAGGGGATGGCTGTGTGCCTGCAAGGAGATGGCTGCCTGCCCGCTGTCCCTGCCTGCGGCCAGAGGGCGGGTGGGCAGCTGCCTGCGCGCGCGGGGGATGAATGGGTGCAAGGCTGTGCCATGCGTGGTGGGACGGGTGCTGCCGCCTCGGCAGCTGGCCCCCAGCCTGCCTCTTTACGGGGGGGGGGGGGGGGGGGGGGGTCTTTGTTCCCATCGTCACCCCCCCCCCCCTTC